AACCAAGAGTACTTTATCCAGCAAAGCTATCATTCAGAATTGAAGGTCAGATAAAGAGCTTCACAGATAAGGAAAAGCTAAAGGAGTTCATCACCACTAAACCAGTATTATACGAAATGCTGAAAGGTATCCTTTAAGAAGAGGAAGAAGAAAAAGGTAAAGATACAAATTGTGAACAACAAACATTCATCTATCAACAAGTGAATCTAAGAATCAAGTGAATAAATAATCTGATGTACAGAATGAACTGGTGATTATAATGAATCAGGGACATAGAAAGGGAATGGACAGACTATTCTTGGGGGGGGGAAAGGGGAATGGGAGATGCGGGAAGAGACTGGACAAAAATCGTGCACCTATGGATGAGGACAGTGGGTGGGGCGGGAACTGGGAGGAGGGGAGTTATGGGGGGGGGGGGGAGAGGAACAAATGTAATCTGAACAATAAAGATTTAATTTTAAAAAAAAGAAAATTTTACTTTAAAAATTAATTTTCACTTGTAATGCTAAAGACAAGATACCCATGAAAACACACATGGTGTCAAAATAAGCCAAAAGAAAATGGTTTGGGCACAATGGAAAGAAAGGATCCCAAGTCTAGTTTTTAGAAAAGATTCCTTTATTAACCTTTGGTTGAGAATATGTTTGTATATTTCCAGAAAACTCCTCCAAGCCGTGTGGATTCCTGCAACAATGGATCCCAGAGAGAAACTGACCAGATTGCTCCAGCCATGAAGACAAGAGGAGAAACAGTCCAGAGATGGAGATGATGAAGACGCCTTGCCATGCTAGCAGTCAGCAGCTGTGCGTCGCTGCAGGTTGCCCATGACCAAGCCAGAAAAGGTCGGACCTGCACTCCCACCATTTGGCCACCATCCAGAACTAGCATATCATTGCTGGCATGTACACATAAAGAACTGTTGGACATTAAAATTGGGACTCAAAGAACTATTGGCCCAGAAAGAAACTTACTACAGACTGATTCCTTTGGATACTTGGCAGCAATTTAAAAAGGACACGACATTTGCCTCTCAGCATAACCACTATTGCTTGTCTCATTTTTGTTATGCGGAATGAAGAGTCTTGAAAGGACTCGAGCCCTTTCAGGGGGCATTCACTTTTCAAGATTTTTTAAGTAAAAGAGAAGGGGGAGATGTGGGAAGCCATCTATAGTCTTCACTAGCAGAGAGGTGTGGACAAGGAACCCAGAAGGCTGGTGACCCTTGAAGCCCTGGCAAAGGTCAGGGCTGTGCACCCACTGTTAGTCCAGACAATGGTAGCTGAAGCAACTTCCCTATTTACTATTACGTAAATCCTTGCTGATGGGCTAGTCTGCCTGTTACTGGAAATTGCCTCCCTAAGGACCATGGGTGTATCCCAAACCAAAAAAAGATTGGTGAGGCCTGAGCACCAGTGGAAGTCCTTCCCCTTGAGTTGGACTTGCCCGCCTGGCCCCCCAATATTTCCAAATTATTATTTCTTGTCTTGTCTCTTTCATTTGCATGCGGGCCTCTTCCAGATCCTGAACCATGAACCACGCGGGACGTGGGGGAAAGTTTACACAGGAAAGTGCCTCACTCAGTGAGTTTTTAATAAGTATGTTCCTGCTGTATGTTCCCTGCTGTGAGGTTTTGCTGTTAAGCAGGCCTTCAGCTCATGGCTGGACAGGGGGAAGCAAAGTTTGACCTTCCGCCTGAGGGTCCTCTTTGCCATCAGCTGAGCCTGAGGCCACTGGGGTCTCCAGGGAAGGGCCAGGCAGTGGGTCAGGCAGAAGGGAACTCCCCACTGCTTCTTGTGCTGGGCAAATGGTCAAGGCAGTGGTCTCCTGTGACCAAATCCAGAAAAGAGGCAAGAGAGGCCCAGAGAAGGAAGCCTGTGAGAAGGTATGGATGTGCGATCCATCGATGGCATCATAGAACGAGACCTCCGCACTCTCATAGTCCAGGAAAACCCCCACTCTTTTAGGAGGTTTGACAACTGTGAGTTTGCTCCGGGGATCCGTTTGAGCCTGGAAGTCATGCCCATTGAACAGTGATATTGTCCAGAATCCATTCTGGGGTGTTACTGGAGGATGATATTTTCTCTCCACGTTCTCCCTACACACCCCGAATTGCCAATGTTTCCTGTCCCCCACCTCCACCTCCCAGAAGTGTCTGCCTGACGTGAAGCTCTCACGACCCAGCACACAGGACCGATCCTGAAATCTCCTGGGGTTGTCAGGCAGGCTCTGCCATGTGTGTATATACTGCAAGCTCCTCTGGTCCTCAGAAATAAGGAGTTTGGGGTGCGCAGTGTCTGGATCCAGAATCACGTCCGCTGCAGAGAGTTCCAATGGTGTGGGGTCAGCCAAGGTTTGGGGATCTGAGAGCCTCAGGCTCCAAGGCTTGGGTCTGGCTGGTGAGACCTGAGCCCAGAGCCTGGGGTCCCAGCTGCCCTGAGTGTGACCCTCAGCAAAGCCAACAGAAACCACAGGGCCTGGTGGTCAGTGAGGAAGGGAGGGTGAGGAGGGCTGGCTCTGCCTAACCCGCCATCTCAAGTGGCCACCTTCCTTCTATCTTCTTCCTGTTTCTTCCCCAGAAGGACTGTGCCCACCTGTGCTGCAGAGTCACATGGACTCCAATTCCAGCCCTTG